TATAAACTATGTAATAACAATTTTGTAAGTTAAATTCTTATAAGTACATAATCACAGAGAAAAATGACAAAAAGAAAATATGCCAAATATTAGCAGTGGTTGTTTTCATTATGTGATTTTTAGTGATTCGTATGTCCTTCTTTAAATTTTCTTGCATTTCCAAAATTTTTATAATGAACCTAAATTATTTTTGTAAGTAATAAAATCACTTGTCTATTGGATAAACTAGTACGATCGGAGATTTAGGGAGAACAAAACATACTCCCTTCTACTTTTTTAAAAATAATTGCGTTAAACCAGCTAATCTGTTGAATAAGATTATTTCAGGGAAGTAAGGTGATGAGGTAAACAGATAAGCAGGAGAAGTCATATGTTAATGGCCTCTCATTTTTTTGCAACCATATTTTATGTGTACTAAAGAAAATAAAACAGGAACATTTGAAATTCATGTAGTTCATATTTTATAGACACTTTTCTACTTACACAAATAAAATTCTGAGTATTAAATAATAATTTTAAAATGTCTTCTTTAAGAGTTAGTTTTTATTTCTTTATAAGTGATAAAACTAATAGGTTATTATTTGTGAAAATCAACAACAAAAAATAATTTAAAAAAATATATATTTTATTGATTTTCCACAGAGAGGAAGGGAGAGGGAGGAATAGAGAGCTAGAAACATCGACAAGAGAGAAATCGATTAGCTGCCTCCTGCATACTCCCTACTGGGGATGTGCCCACAACCAAGGTATATGCCCTTGACCAGAATTGAACCTGGGACCCTTCAGTCTGCAGGCCGACGCTCTATCTACTGAGCCAAACCAGCCAGGGCCAAAAAATAATTTTTGTAAAAATGTTGGAAAGTATTTCCCCATGATTACCCAAGGGAATCAAAATAGTCATTTTAAGGCTCATGAGTGTAGATTTTGTAAAATTATGCCCTTTGCTATCAAACACGCTCTTTGACTGAATTTTTAAATGAGATTTGGATCAATTAATATGCAACTGTAGCCCCAAACAGACGGAAACAAATCCAGGAACAAAAAAATCCATATCAGAAATTGCAGTTATGAATTCTGTTGAATTACTGTGGTCAATTACCCCAACTGAAGTATTAAAACTATAGTTCATATTTCTAACATTTATTTATAACTAAATATTATTCTTTCCAATTCTGTTTACAAGGCAATCAATCTAGAGTCTAAAATGTTGTTAATCATATCATTTCTATTAGACTAGGGGCCTGGTGCACAAAATTGGTGCACTGGTGTGGGGGGGGTTCTCTCAGCCCAGCCTGTCCCCTCTCACATACTGGGAGCCCTCAGGGGATGTCTTACTGATGGCTTAGGCCCGCTACCTACGGGCCTCCCTGTGGGGAGCGTGCCACCTACTCCTCTTGGAGCTTGCTCCGCCCCTGCCCCCTCTGATCACCGGCTCTGCCCCTCTGCCCCCTCCCCTACCTACCCTGCCACACCCCTGGCCAACAGGCCTGGACACTTCAGCAGTGGGGCTGAGGGGACTGGGCGCCGCCATCTTGTGTCTATGGGCGCCGCCATCTTTGTGATGGAGAAATGGTTAACTTGCATATTACTCTGTTATTAGAAAGGATAATTCTGATTATATAATTACATATATATTACTTCCTTGTATTTCACAATGATTTTAAGTGGGCGGGGAGGGGGGTTGTCTCTCAGCCCAGCCTGTCCCCTCTCACATACTGGGAGCCCTCAGGAGATGTCTTACTGACGGCTTAGGGCAGCTACCTGCTCCTCTCGGAGATTGCTCCGCCCATGCCCCCTCTGATCACCGGCTCCGCCCCTCTGCCCCCTCCCCTACCTGCCCCACCACACCCCTGGCCAACAGGCCTGGACACTTCAGCAGTGGGGCTGAGGGGACTGGGCGCCGCCATCTTGTGTCTATGGGCGCCGCCATCTTTGTGATGGAGAAATGGTTAATTTGCATATTACTTTTTTATTAGATAGGATAATTCTGATTATATAATTACATACATATTACTTCCTTGTATTTCACAATGATTTTCAGGAATCTGAAATGCATCAGGCACAGAGCCAGGA